TGGGCCTGGGACCCCCCGGGATGGGCTGGGTCTGAGGGAAAGGGGGGGTGGGGGTGGGACTGAGCCCAAGGGAGGGGGTCCGTGGGATGAACAGGGTCCCTGGGGTCAGACGGTGGCTGCAGGGTGGGGCATGGACCGTGGGGTGGGACGGGGTACCCGGGGGTGGGAGAGATCCCCAGGGGCAGGCAGGGTCCCCGGGGATCAGGCTGGACCCCCATCACAGAACAGTGTCCCTGGACTCGGAGGGTCCCCAGGGTCAGGCAGGGTCCCTGGGGTCAGACAGGGCGCAGGGTGGGACGGTGTCCCTGGCGCTGGGGTCAGGTAGGGCCCCAGGAGCAGCAGGGCAGGGCACAGGGTGCAGAGAGGTGAGGCATGCCATCTTGGCACTCTGGGCATCATAAAGCCCACCTGGAGCAATGCCAGGGGCTCAGGTCCCTGTGGCAGCCTGGCTCCCTCGGCCGCAGCGGCGGCTCCTGGCACTGGGGTAGTCTCAGGACAGTGGGTTTTGGCAGAGGGGTGATGCGGTTCATTAGCCCAAGGGAAACAGCTGGGGAATGGTCTTTGGTGGCAGAACTGGTTAACGCAACTAGTCATGCTTGGAGCTATTGTTCTCCACTGGTATTCAGCTTTGCAGACTTCTGCTTCTATTTCAGGCCTGCTGGAGGGCTCATGCACCCAACAGCCTGCCTGTTTTTCCTTCTAATTATTTCAGTCAGTCTAAAAAAAGATATTACCTCCCTCTGCAAACCTTGCTTCCATTGTTCTCAGCAGAGAAGATAAGAAGAAAGGAGAAGAAAAGTCTTGACACCCGTTACCTCCAGGTTAAATGCTCTTCTGCATAGGTATGGCAAGCGCTGGGAAGAAAAACAGGAGACAGCTTTTGCTAACCAGAGGTGGAAGAGATACCAGAGCATCCATCAGGGCTGGCTACCCCCATCCTGCAGGGCCAGGGGTTAATGGAGGAGCTGGGAATGACCCTGGGACACACCAGGGTTTGAAGTGAGAAATCCTGGTGCTGTCAAGGCATGTTGACAGGGAAATGATTGCCATGTCAGCAGAAAGACAACCCGCACAGGGAGGGGGGAGGAAGCCGCTAATAGACATGCTGTGATGAATCTGGGTTTTGACAAGAGGCTGAGGTACCAAACGCACTCAGAAAAGCGAAAGGAGGACAGATGTGGTCTAACTGGCTGTCACTCGTGTGAGCGGGGAGAGGACGGCATGGGGGCAGGGGGATGCATCATGCCCACTGCCATGGTCGGGGCATTGCCCAGGCATCGCACTCGCCCTCCCTCTCCTCTCTCCTGCAGGGTTTTGGGGCAGGACTCCCCTGTTTGTTCCACTTGCACAGGGCTGCAATAGCAGCAGGGGCTGAGCTAGGACCAGAGCTCCTACGAGCAACTACACACAAATAATTATTAGTGATAATTAGCAAAAACACGCTGATGGCATCTCCTTCGTATCAGCTTAGCTCTGGGTTTGGCAAAGGCTCCGGTCTTGTCGAGATGATCCTCTTGTTGTGTAAACATCTTCTGTGGCCTCGCCTGCTCCTCCTCTGGGGCTGAGAGCCCAACTGGGCAAAGAAAATGCTGCTATGAGCACCAGCGATGGCACAGAGGGGCCTGGCCAGTGGCCAGGGGGTTGTGAGCATCCTTCAGATTTCTCCTTTACCTGGCACAACAGGCACCTCTGAAAGATTTAACCAGAAAATCGTGGCTGGCCATTGTCATTCAGAGCTGTCGCCAAGGCAGGGTTAGCTCTCTGCTGCCTAACACCAGGTGGGAGCTGATTTTAAAACATATTTTCTTTGTTTAATTTTCCGAGCCATCAAAATGGGGCTTCGGGTGGGGAGTGGGAGCATCCCAGGTCACCTACAGCCTTCTCTGGTGGGTGCATGAGAGCAAGGCGGGGTGCGGCAGTGCTGAGTTTGGCTCCAAGAAGGTGCCAGCCATCACAAAATGAACTATTGAAAAAAGGTGATATTTTAGCCAGGCTTTTAAAATTACCAAAAAAACCCCACCCCAAAGTACCAGAAACGTTGTTCAGTATTCTCTGTTTTCCTGGCAGGGCTGGGGGAGGTGAGGAGAAACCTCTGGCTTTACAGATAGGGTGTGGGCTGTGGTTACAACTCTCCTGGAAAATTTTAATTGGTGAAAAAGTGAAGAATATTTTTAGCATGCCGTCAACGTGCATGTGAGGAAGTGTGCGTTGTAAGAGCATGCGACACGAAGGCTGCATCCTTGTGATCTATCAGCTATCCTCACCCTTGCAGGCAGATCTGGAGAGAGCCACCGTGACCCCGCCAGCAGGAACACAAGAGCAGCCGCTGCAATGGGACCTGTTGTCTGCAAGAGGATGCTCATTGCACAAGAACATGGAGGCTGGTCCAAAAATGCTGTGGAGAGAGGGGTCAGGCTGTTCCTTTGGGATGGGACACGCTGCCAGACCGTTGTCTTCTTCATTGTTAAGGGGTGGTGCAATGCTGCTCCAGCAAAGTGAAACGGAGTCACGAGAGACGCTGAGGAGGTTGGGCTAGTGAGTCACAAAACCGAGGAAGCTTGTTTGCAAGGGGACCCATGAGTCCTCCTGCTCTGCGCCTTGATGGCCTCGTTTGGGGTCTTGCAAAACTTGGGGGGCAGGATGCAGAGGAGGATGGCGGTGCCGGAGGTCAGGAGCTCCGGCCGCAGAGACACAGCTGCCTCGAAGCTGCTTGGGGCTCATTTGGGACCGGGATGGGTGGAGAGTCCCTCCTGTCCTCCCAGACGTGGGCAAACCTGTCTCTCCAGCCACAGGCACCACATAAGAGAGCTGTGGTCGCCCTTATGTCTACCTGCCATCCTTTCTCTGCTCCAGGCAGGGAGCTCCAGCTCCTGCATCCAGCCTGAGGTACCTCATGACCAGGGTCAGCCACTCCACCTGCTCCCACCTGGGTTTCCCCTCCACCTGAAATGGTAATAACCCATCTCCGAGGTGCCGTGAAGCCGAGTTCGTTAGCGCCTGGCTTTGTTAAATGCTCTGAGCAGGGCTGGAAGGGCAGAGGCTCATTATTGCAATTGCCCTGTTATCTGCTCAGCAGTGGGGAGGAGGAGGCGGACGTGCCAGCAAGGCTGGGAGCCAGTGCTGGGCTTGGGGAAGCCACAGGACTCCTGCCCTCAGCTGGAGGAGAAATCCTCAGCCCCTTCACGTGCACAGCAAATTAATGTGGATGTTCTTAATTTAATCTGTCCGGATGGAGCTAAAATAAAGAGGCCCAGAGAAAGCACTGGGTCTGAATGGTTCCCCTAGGGTAGGGCTGAATTCAGGCTCTTGATGCCAAGTAGAGCCCATGGCACCTTCTCCTCACAGCTGTAGCATGTTTGTGGGGATAAACCACTTCTCAGGTGGAGTCCATTCCTCTAAACTACCTGTGCTAGACAAGAAATGTGCAGGTGTCCCCATCCTCAGGTGATGCACTGGGAATTACCAGTAGCAAAGGCTGGGGGAGATGGGAGACCACAGACATGGGGCTAGTGTGGAAGAAGGGCTCTCTTCACCTCCCCACCTGCTTTCTGGGCTTAATTCTTATGTTTTATAGACAAGCCCTGTGAAAAGATGGTGTTACCAGCCACACTCCCTGCTGTGGTGGGGCCATTGAAATTAGCACACCTGGTTTGGGGTTTGGCCAGTAGCTCCTGACCTACTGAGGTCCTGGTTTTACCTGTTTTCCTCTTGGCTGATAGCAGTCTGAGCTTCTGCCCAAATCAAACCTGGACTTTCCTGTCACTTGTGCTCTGTATTTTACTCATATGCTTGAAAGAGAAGACCCAGCTATCTGCCAAAGCCATCAGCCTGCGAGCGCTTGCAAGAACTCATGTGCTCTCCTTGCTGATCTTGTAAGGAAAATAAGTCCTTGCCGCAGAGGACATCTGGATGTGCCACCACAGACCAGGGATTTCAGCCTGGGCTCACAGGGGGCACAAAGAAGATCCAAAACCTTGGGTGAGGAGGTTGCTTGCTGGGGCAAAAGGGGGGGTGGTTTAAATTATCTTAAAACCAGCAGTGAATTGGTATCATATGGCCAAGCTCTGTGTCATGCTGGCAAGTGGGGAGTGAGCAGTGCTGCTTTGTGCTTTCTTCTTCGTTTCTGTTTTAACTCACTGTTAGCAGTAAGCCCTGCTGAAAGGCAGCGGCTGTGGGCTTGAAGAGGTGCCTGATGATGCCGGAACATCGCTGCTGGTGTCCAGGTGATGGCCATGTCGCTGCATGGGCAGGACGGGTGGGAAGGGGTGAAGCACCTGGTGGGCAAGGGCTCAGGGCAGCTCTTCTGCTCCATTGCTGCATGGGGTGAAGGGGAGCAGCACAGGGCTGGAATAGGAGGTGGCTTGGACAGGCTATCCTAGTCCATGCTGCTTTTAATCCCCAGGGTTTTCAAACACAGGGACATGCCCCATGTCCTGCAGGCTAAACCCAATCCCTGTGTAAACGGGCTCAGAGCAGCTTCCCGTATCTCTCACTGCATCGCCCCATGCCTGGGACAGTCGTCTCTGGGCTTTCCTGACAGCTCTGTGCCATTCCTGGCCTTCACCGATGTCTCCAGCAGTGAAAAAATATGCCAAAAATACCCCCCCTCTCTTTGCTACTTCAGCAGGAAGGTGGGATATAAACACACTGACTGTTTGTTAATGTTAGCTCTTGCCGGGCTTTCAAGCTGGGCTGGGTTTGGGGAGATCGCTTCCTGTGCCCCAGCCCTGATCTCCCTCTGGCTCCCCGCTCCGTCTAGGCAGGAGAGCTCCCCAAAGCACCTCTGCCCTGCGTGTACCTCTTCAA